TACTAAGCAGACACCAGTTTTATGCTTAGCAGGCTTAGAATCCGACTTAATTCTATTATTTGACAAAAAGGAAAATATAGTCGATGGGGTGAAATCCTCTAAATGGCATTTTCAGAGACAATTGACACGGGTGGTTGCACCTAAATAAGACACTACGCGGGCTTACAGGCGAATCAAATTCGTCTAACCGGCAACACCACCTAAAAATCCCAGTTCGTGGTAAGTCGCAGAAATTGTTCGCCGCCAGTAACATCAAAGTCTACCTGACTTAACACCAGGCCAACATCGCACTGCACGAAATGGCCGTCCTAAATACTTAAATAAACGTCTTTTTACTTTACGCTTGGGTTACAGTTTTTGAAATTGCTTAGCATGTCTTGGTTTGTTTCATTCCATTGTCAGTTGTTCTTCAGTTGTACTAAGCTTACCTCGGTCGTTGTTTGCACACTAAAAGTGAAGATATCGACAGTGCACTTTTGAAAGTGGTTGTTGCCCTAAACACAGACTACCAATAACAATAGCAGTGTAATTGGTGATGTCAGGCTTGAACCGGTTACCATGCTTAGTGATGCTAACTTCACAATGAAGTCAACACACCTCTTTTTGCGCCTCGATATTTGTTTAAAAGCGAAAGAGCTAGCGTTGTCTGAACTAGACAAAGTCACTACCAATCGCTCTGACGCATAAATCGCTAATGAGACATTGTGTTTAATATAATTTCATAGATTTGAAGAGGCAAGTCCTCGGAGGCATTTCGCTCCCCGTAACTATTGCTAGTCATTGTTGCAGGATTTACATTAATCAAAAACTTAGAGGCAGCGTGTTGACATACGCCTCAGCTGACAAAACCACGAACGTGAATTTGCGAGCACTTAGCGGAACAAATAATATCACAGATGTAGCCAAATGCAGATATTCGACGAAACATTTTTCATACGCGTAAAACAAATATACTTTTGACAAAATGGTCATTAGAGAGCAAGACATATACGCAAACATCAAACAATGTTCTGGTCATTTGCAAAACTATTGCATCCAAAAAGATACTTTATGCATTATGAGCCGCTTCCAATCGATGCCTTGTATTTGTCAAAATGCATTCAATATTCGCAGCACCAGATGGTCAAAGGGACCTCCAAAGATGAATATGCCAGCAACATTGCCCACAATACAACACTGTGCAGGCCGAACAGTGAGTTCATGTATTCTTACTGCCAGAAGCGCTGTGAATTTCAAGTGCCTTAATGGCTTCGCACATAGCCTTTAATAAGTCGACAGTGCCGAAAGTAACACCCAAGTCCGCCTCAGTATATTTCAGGTGAACATAAGGACGCAAGACGTTATCGTTCAAGGCAGACAGTGGTTTGTGGCTAGCAGACATAGCGGAATGAATGCGGCGTACGCGTCTCATATAGATGTCGTATTTTTTTATTTTCAAGTAGCAAGTTTAATCCCCACTTAATTGTAAACACAGGTTACATTTGTACTGCGAATTTTGACTCAAGGCGTCATGGTACGTGCGTTACATGTAGGTATTTTTACGAATGGTTCCATATTTGACATACCGCCGCAGCAGCCGCACAGCGGCGCATGAAATATAGGCAGAATGCTATTACCGACAAAGACAAGGGAGGCTGGTAAAACCATGTTGTGTGGTTGCAGGCCGTACGTGGTAATCGTGATCTCTCAACTACAGTGAGCTATTGTAGCTCCAGTCCGTTGACCGGCCCTGAAAATCCATGGCTGCACTTGAGAGGAAATTCATAATATGAAAGACTCTGAGCCTCCTATCCCCACGGATTTGCATAGTATCCCTCAATACATTAAATCTGACTCGTTTGTAACTACAGCTATGTGCTACACATCGTGACTTCTGAGGTTGTCCAATGACGATACATCTCAGGAACCCCAGTTGGCACTATGTATGTGGTTGTGTGAAGTGGCCGACTGGTGGATCAGGCGTCGGGTTTAGTAACCTAATTGATCTTCGTACATGTATTAAGAGGCAAGAGCGGGCGGCCTGTTTAGCCTTGTCAGCCACCTGTGTCAATCTCCGCATAAGATGACAGACTGAATAGTAGTGAAAATGCGATTCCCAGACGGCATATCAAAATAAGAAGAGGCGTTCACCGGGAGGGTTTTATCGGAGTTCTGACGTTTCGGGTAGTTTATTCGTCTACCCATCTTCAGAGACTGGCTAGTCCTGTGCACAGCTCCCCTTATATGGCCCAACTTGCTGAGTGCGTGACCCTCCAATGCCGTCTGTGTGACTGCATCAAGCCCGTATGTCACCGTGTCCTGAATCGATCCTGTCGGCCGCGGGTATAACTGACGAACCCGATCGTCCTGCGCCGCGACTGCCCCCGTTAAGAAGGCTACTAACGTCAGATAGGGGGGGACGGAAATTGATATGATGGTTGGCAGAGCAGTCGGTGAACATCCAGGCTTCTTGCACCTGCCTTGCCGTATGATCACCTCCCCGGCCCACAATCCTAACGGCATCAAAGTTGAAGATGTGTCCCATTCGAGCGGCATGGGTTGCTACCTCCGACTTTGAGTCCAACCTTCGCATGACCAACTTATGGTGGCGCATTCGCGTTTGCAGCTGTAAGCCGGTTTCCCAAACGTAGGTGCACCTTCCACGACTGCATTGAAGTCGGTAGACAACGACCGACATCTCCTGCTTGAGGATAGGATCTTTTGGCCGCATTACTCGCCGGCGGACTGTTGAGTCAGGCCTGTTTGCAACACCTATCCCAGTAGAGCAAGGCAACTAGCTACGGCTTCGGAGACCCCTTTGAGGTACGGAATGCTCCGCCACGAGTTTAACTGATTATGACAGACTGTTTTGGGGAGTGTGCTGGTGCTGGGCTTAGTAGACATTTTAGTAAAATATTGGGAACAGCGACATATACCAGCTGGTACATTGTTGGTTAGGGTTGGAGTTGGGGGTAAGGCAGCCTTCGACCATCTATCTGACACAATGCGCAATACGGTGTCGTTCATAAAAGCTGCCATCTAGACAACAGTGATTGGCGAGTGCGTCTAAACCGGCAGGTACGTCCTTGCATTGCAGCCAGCCTTATCAGGCCCTACCCAACCTACATCCTTAACCCTACGATCATACATCAAATGTGGATAAATCTGATAATATGACAATTCTCACAAGCAATATATGACGCCTTAATTGTAAAAGTAGGGAGAGAGGGAAACTATGGAAAGCAAGTTGGTGAGCGAACTTTGTTTTCCATAAATAAATATATATGGGAATAGGGCACAGTCAGATCAGACATGGCAGTGCTTATAAAATCGATAAAATTTGGTTTTAAAACAGACGCGGGGCAAGAACGGAAGGGTGCAGAAAGTTGCATGTGGTTCGTCAACCACGGTAATCGCGGAGCCTGAACGAGGTTCTTTTGGGCGCATAGGGTCAGTTTTCGTAATCTTATGGCGGCCGCTACCGCCGTTGTTGACAGGCGCTGGTACGGAAGCTTGGGTGGCTCGAGGGGACCTTTTAAAGCATGAATCTCTTCTCTATTGTACACACTATGCGCTGCAGTTACTGCATGTGCAAGGATGGAGCTCTGCTTTCTCCTAGTTTTGACTTCTTCCGGCCAGGCGGTGAGATGTTTTCGTACTTATTTTAAAAACACGCCTTCCTTTGTGACCAACGCAACTTGCCACAAAGAAGCAAAGGGAATTCTAAATTCACGTCCTCACCACTGATCTGGCAGTCATTCGTCACTACCAATTTTCTAACTGCTAGTGCCGGCTTGCCACTTTACTCCTGAATGGCGCCGACATGTAAGCCTGTTTCCTAGTCACTCGACAAAGGATACCAGCAAGCGGTTAATGAGTAACAAATGTACTGGTATCAAACGCAAAAAAAGTTTAAAGTAATGTTGTGTTGCTTAGAAATATCTGATTTTGCAGAAATGCAATAAATCCCCAAAATCGTCAAAAATGATTTAATTTTGGAAACATTCGATGTATATACACAGAAAGCCAGTCCTTGCCTTAAGTGAGTAAATATGCTAGTAACGAAAAAGGCGTTCTATCAGATCAGAAAACTTTCTCACATAAATAACCATTTGAAGGAGCACGTTAGGACTGCGCTCCATTGTGAGATGTTTGTGTCTATTGCATATTTGTAGGAAGAAACCAGGAAACACTTGACACGCTCGTCCGGTTGTTTTACGTAGCTAAACAGACTGATATTTGTCTATAGCAAACTTGTTGACATACATGCTTATTTATTAAGCCTTAGTTCTCGCTATTTTGCTAACCTGGGCGCTTCATTAAGCGAGTATGAATACAATGCATGGCGATTATATAAATATATATTTTTTCGTTGCATTTTAATTACATCAATACAGGATCGAGACCGCAAGAAAAGTAATGTTCTGTATGTTGAAAACTAAAACAACTATTTGTTGGTAGTCCGTTCCATAACAGCATAAATAATTTTCTAACCGACAACTGGGCACATAATGAATTAAAAGTGGTCAATTCATGTTTATTACAATTTTCTGGAGTAAATTACGCTCCTATTAAAGTAAAACACTTTCAAATGCGCAATCGAAGTGTAGGACAAATACTAGCATAGATATATACTAACGTCCACTTTCGCTTAAGTATATGAGAAATTTGTCTTATACGAATACGTGAACACATTTTGCACAAATAAAGAGCGTAGCACTGTAAATGCTAGACAGGCAAGCAGAACGCACAAATGTTACGACGTCCAAAAATCTTCCAATCAGTTTACGTAATTATGGATTTATGAGATACGTCACGTAATGTGCAAATGACTCGACGGGCGCCCCGTACGCTTTTAGTATTTTGCAAAATAATCCTAACGGTTTGACCAATTTTCGCCTCCATAATAAACATTAAATGTCGTCTTTACGCCGACAATCCTATATTTTCGAAATTAGGAAACTCAAACCAAACCAACAACCGAACACTTGGAAAAATTCCACCCACAACCACTCCGTCGTCTAAAACCTTTTTCCTAAAGTAAAAGTAATATGTTTTAGAAATGGCACACAATGCAAAATATGGATAACTGTTCACTTAAATTAACAAACACGTCTACAAATAAAATAATCCGGAGATTTAGTTTGCGTACGAAAAATCATTGTGTTTATCAGAGTTTCAGTTAACGACTTTTAGATGCATTGTAACCATTTTTTGAATTAAAAGCTTTTCGATCAAAATTCGCAATATGGATAAATGCTCTCTAGCATTCACAAACACGTGTACAAATATAATAGTAAGCATTTGACAGTTTCTAGCTGTAAGGACATATGAAATTGGAGACGTTTGCTATTTAATGACAATTTTTTCCCCCGCTTTCAAAAATTTCCCTCTTTTTTTGCGTTGTGAACCGAGTACGTAAGAATAAAATCGTTGTAAGAAATTTACAACGGAACGCCAACGTGGCACAACCGTAAATAGGATCATGATCTGTCTTTAGACATACTTTTATCTGACAGCATTCAATGTCTCTGGTGGTAAGCATTAGTGCCACAACTATGCTCAAATGTGGAAGAAGAAGCGATCGCTGGAACAAGGGCTTCACTTGCTTGACGTTTCGAATTCTCACCTTAATCTATTATTAGAAACAGTGACAGAAACTGCCTTCAAGCGGGAATGCCAGACGTTAGGCACATAAAGCCTTTGATCCAACGATCGCTTCTACGTCTTACCAACCAGATTCTGGAACTCGCATCTTCCCTTCTATCGCGCATATTTTCAAGCCCAGTTGCAGAAAATGTCGCTAGTATAAGCAATACTAGTGTAAGAATACCTTCAAGACAAGAATTGAAACATCCCTTCAAGTCGACGAACGGATTTTCTTTATTTGGCTCGGTAAAATATCTGCCCTCCTGACATTTGTCGCCACTGCAGCAGACAGAGATTTTGTGCATATCCGTGTTTTTCACTGTAAGAAATCAAATTACAGCAGGAATAGCAGCACTGAAAGACGATGAAGAATGAGCTATATGTAAATAAAAATAACAACTTACACTTTGGCCAGCCATCACATTTGAAAGCGCATCTGTTGAAGGCATCAAACGTCCCACCTACCCTCTTTATTTCGATGCAATCCTGCTTATCTTCCGAGCAAAGTTTGAGGGCGCTCTCCGAATTGTGTTGAACTGAAAATAAACAATGCACTGCATGGTACGCATAGCATTTTCCTTTAGAAGAAAACCCATTTCAAGTCAAAAAAGGGCCAACAGTGTTATCAAGTGAAAGTGCAGATGGAAAAAAATGAGCGCAATTTAGAAATTCACCTTTCGCTACAAAGTGACACATTTGAACACACATAACGTGTCTATCGAAAGCCGTGTCGAATTCGTCGCGTCCGTAAACGTCATACGCGTTGCAATTTTCGTCACTTCCTTCACAATAGTAGGCGGTCCATTTATTTTTTAGTTCCCCTAAACCAACGAGAGGACATTTATGATTTCGCTATCTATACTTCGAGCACTGTAGACGAGCAGATATTGCTTGAGGAAGATGCAACATGTTGCGATGAGACCTACCTCGCTGCTTTCCACAGGCTTCGCGGCAGAGACGACCCTTACTCGCATCGCCCACTCTGTAGCTCACAATCTTGCATTCGGTCTGCTGTTGTTTGCATATTTTATACGTTGGCTCTTCACCAGCCCGTACTGAAAGAAAAATTATTTTATCCAAAAATAGAATTAATGTGATTTTCTGCATTCTGACAGGAGTTTCTAATAGTCAATTAAGTTGGACAGTAAATTTGCTGGTAAATGTGCAAATCAATGAGAATTGCAAGAACTCTATAGTGTTAATGTGCAAGTGTTGAGGATTGATGCTGCGACTGCATGCAAGGGTCAAACATACCGCGAGTAATAACAGAGAAAATCAAGACGACATGCAGTAGGATCATTGCAGAATTTCTCATGACTGTCATGTCAGCTGTTTGTGTCTGCTGTGCTATACAACTTCCTCGGTATTTATATGTTCGGAGAGTGAGCTGCGCATTGGCTGAAGACGATAGTGGCATGATAATTGGTTCTTTTGGCCATGACGAATTGCGAAAATGTGTCGAGCGCTCCCTAGATGTCTTTGCACTTATTTTTTGAAATTTAAATTTACAGAAATGACCACATAATATTGCATCTGACTAATCTACTATATAGTTTCACCCCTAGTAACATTGTGTTCAATAATTTCCAATGGGCGAAAATAGTAATTAGGGAAATTGCATATTGTCTTTATTTTTCACTCTGCATGTACAAACCAAACATCATGGCGCATAAACAGTGCATAAAGTTATGAACCATCAGTATCGTTGCACTTGATGTGATGTCTGTTTGATAGCCGACATTCGCGTTGTGAATTGTTGAAATTTGATCACGTGTGCTGAATATTGGTGTGATGATTGCTCGACCATCTGACCCGCCGACCATGGCGTTGGGAACAAGTTCACGCATTAATCTCCTCAGGAATTAAACAAGGCAAGTTAAAACTGGAGTTCATATACCAGAAAACACACGGGGAAAGCTTGGGGACCCACTGAAGAGGCGAGGCGCTCGCCTCTGGCAGCGGCATAAGATCGGTAAAACACGCGTGTCTGGGCCTTCAGCTAATACCTGTGTTGTTAGTACGGTAAATCATTGCACAGTTCTCTACTACTGGCTGCCTGTTAGCGGTTTGTTAATAATAAGCGGTTATCACGCAGTAGCTGATGTAGTTCAGCACAAATATTCATATCAAATTTTTGACCGTGTCTAAAAAAGCTAGTATAGAAAGATTTACTTCAAGTTCGCGCATTTATTTTCTTAGAAATTAAACAAGGTAAGTTGGGAACACTGTTTACCTGGGCGCTTGCCGCGTCACTAATTGCTCCGCCTAGGCGAAGACTCAGCACCGAGCATGGAAGGCAAGTTCGATGCACATATTAATGGACCGGAGGCCAGTGAACGATGACCCAAGCCCTTAGTGGCTCCAGCAATTGTCACCTCTAGCAAGAATGTCGGCCTTGTCGATTTTGAATATGTGACCGGATGTCGTCGAGTAAGCCTCAAGTTGCCGAATGTCTCGCTACAGGTTATAACCACGTGAGCCGCGAGCTACTAGAGTCATGGCTATCGGTTTTTTACATTCAACGTTTAAATATCATGTACGAGTCACAGCACGCCATGAATGGAGTTATATTTTTTTTGCAAAATTGTTTTCGCATGTTACGGGAGATGTGGATATGTGATAATCACTGGCTTTAATGAGGGAAACTTTGTGGAAAAGCGATTGCTTAGAAAAGCCATCTGAAAATACACATCAGTGATATCGTGGTATCTTTGAAATGCGTAGAAGCATCTGAGCCAGGGGGACAGCTTAGTCACAAATGGGCTAATTTCCTAAATATGTTTCATAAGTTTATGAATATATAACCCGCATTTTTCCGTTTGGAAGGCCAGTTCAGTTGTTAATTTCTTCGTACTTCCTGTAGACAAGCGCGACTTTATTTTTTTGTGGACAAGGAAACACCACACAGCGATTATAACTGCTTACTGACCAGTTTTTTTTCAAATTCTCATTAATATGCATTTAGTTTGATGATGGTTCGTCATGTTTTAGGTTCTTTATAGAATATCTCTCGTTGCAAAATAGTGCAAAGCCTGGATTCTGAGATGGTGATTCTCGTAAACCTTGTGATGTAATTCCGCATATGGCATGATTGTCCAAATCCTGAGTAAACCAATTAGGCAAACGATAGTCTATAACCAAAAACAAACGGTTAGTCACGTCCTCTTTATTGTTTAAAATCCTTTGCTTTGCGAATTGAAACAGCGAGGTACATCATGGTTCCTATATTTTAGACATCATCTCTACAGCCTCCCTCATCAAAAACTACAACTCGTTCCCATGGAAAGGGACTAAGCACGAGGTCCCACTGCATTTCAACACTAGTGGCCTAGTCCGGAAGAAACAATTTTCAGGGTGTACGGATGGCGGAGAAAATGTAGATGGTGATATGCTGCTTTTGCTCCTGGCATAGTTTGCCATCCCGTTTGAGAAAAAGACTAGCTGAAAAGATGACCTCAGTAATGCAAATGCAAAAGAGTTTTTCTGGGTGCGTGAAATTTTGAAAAGATAGAACATGGTGGTCCGCTGAAAGTTTAATCTGAGCTAATTAATGGACAATACTTCGATTAGTGAACTCGGTCTACCTCACGACTGCTGAACTGCCCCCCGTCCATCAGAGGTGTTTACCCAGACAAAAGCCCTTACTTTATTGGACAGTTGGTTTCAACCTTGACTGACAGGCGTTTTTGCTTGCTGGTTTGCGTGAAAGACGCCTAGAACTTGTAGCAAACTAAAACAGACGGCTCACATTATGCGCACCTAGTTTTCGAGGTTTTAGAGGCCTAGACTATTCATTTCAATTGGCAAATCCTTTGTCAAATCGCCGTAAGAAGAGTCATTTAAGGCAAAGTCACTACCACAATTATCTGGCAGTAAGGACTCATAGTTTTGATAGCCATTAATGTCAACGGTATCGGATTACTTCTAGAGTACATATTATTATCTGATTTGGTTAGTTGTAGCAAGGTAATTTGTTTAAACAGTCAACGCCGTATCAGGCAGTGGCGTCATTGTCAAAGACTGTCTGTTCGAAATTGGTACATGGACCGGATAGGGACATCGGCTGAGTTCCAATCTAAGACCACCTTTTTCCCATCTGAACGAATTGAGGCCTCTTCATCATGACTTTGAGGTTCTGGTGTCGTCCGCCTGTGGGGGCGTTTCACTCTCATGTAGACCCGGAAAAACGGGTTGCTTATATTATCACTCTCATCCTCACGAAATGTGACTTGGTCAACGCAACTGACAGATTCTGGTGGCAACCTCCAGCAAAAGTACTTTCCCTGTGGCATTCACACTTTTGTGTCCTAGGGATTTCTATGATTGTAATTGAGGTGCATGCGTTCAGCCAGTACATGCTAATTAAGATCACTTTAATGGAAGTCATTTTCTGCAGCACTGATACGAAATATGATGAAAAACGTCTGTCTTGCCAGGACAGGGTCTTGCCAGAAAAGGAGCTGGCGAAGAAATCCAGGAATGTGGACTGGTTGTCGTTTCACGCGAGCGACAGAGGCTGTATTTTTATAAGACCGTTCATAGTGTCGATAGTCAGCACCGTTGAGATGGGCGTGAATAATGAGATCATGTCAAAAGACACCATTAGCTAATATGCCTCTACTTTGAGACGTTTGATTCGCGACGAAAACTCTTCAGCCGACTCAATTGTTCACTCCAAATCCTCTGTGATGAAGCATCGTCAATGGTACAGCTAATTCGATAGCCCAAAGGTTGGCGCCACCCTCGGACAGTGGACCTTCGGTAGGCCGTAGAAGCCCACCATTGCGGCATCACCGGCGCTTGCAGCCAACAACTCCCTTCTAGGAGCTGGATGATGTGTGCCCGTTTGAGCTGTTTGTCGGTCTCATCATACTTTTCCCGGAGAAAGCCATCAATAGTGTCGATAGCCAGCGCTGGTGGGATGGAGGTGAATAATGAGATCACGTCGAATGACACCATCACCTCATCTGCCTCCACCTCGAGATGTTTGATGCGCTATCGACACTATTGATGGATTTCTCCGGGAAACGTATGATGAGACCGACCAACAGCTCAAACGAGCACACATCATCGAGCTCCTAGAACTGTGTCTTAAGACCTTCTTTACATTGAACGGCCAAGTCTACGAACAAAAGTAGGGGACACCGATGGGCTCTCCTCTGTCTGGACTAATTGCCGAAGCAGTTTTGCAGAGACTCGAGCAGCAGGTCTTCAGCTCGTACCCCCCGAAGTTCTGGGCCAGATACGTCGACGACACGTTCGGTGTTATCAAGAGGAGCGAGGTGAAGGCTTTCAAGACATTGTTGAACTCAATCTTCCCAGACATTCAGTTTACTATGGAAGAGGAAGTCAACAATCCGTTGCCCTTCCTGGACGTACAAGTTACGAGATTGACAGACGGGAAGATAAGGACAACGGTTTACCGTAAGGCAACAAATACTAGGCGCATCCTCCACTTCCGAGGCAACCACCCTGTTGGTCATAAAAACAGTTGTGTCAGAACTCTCTTTCAACGTGTTCAAACACACAGTGGCGACGACAGTGGGAGGAAGGCGGAGCTGAATTACTCACAGGGCCTTTTTAAAGCCAACGGCTACCCGAAGTCCTTTATACGCAATTGCCTCAAAATGCCTAATCTTCAGCGGTCGAGTGGAGAAAAGCCCAAGTTCTGGCTCTCAATACCCTATGTGAAGAACGTATCTGAGGCAACGGCAGGAATCGTAAAACCTTTTGGGATTGGCGTGGCTCATAAACGAGAATGCACCATCAGACAGCAACTCATGAAGCCCAAGGACCCGCTACCAACAACAGAACAGTCGGCGGTGGTTTACAGCAAACCATGCCTAAATTGCAATGCAGGTATGTTGGTGAAACGGGAAAACGCCTCGGCACAAGATTGGACGAACACCAACTTGCAATCAACCGCAAGGACAAGCTGTCTTTGGTCTATGACTGGTACACTCAACCGAGCTATAGATCTACATCCCGCCTACCAAGCACTGCGTACAAGGCTCGGATCAGTCCGGACAGGACCAGTAAGGCAAGCGAGCACGCGGGACCGAGAGACAACACTCACGGAAAAGAGCGGAATTGGGGGCTAGAGGTCATGTGACCAAAGCCGAACACTGTCTCACCGATGCGCCCGCGAAGCTGAATTCTGCTCACCTGAACAGCAACGACCGATCAGTCCACCGGTTGACGTGGGAGGGGCCAAGCGGCACGTTGATTTGACCACAACTAAGCCGACCCCAAAGGGAACAAAGGTCACGCAGGCCATTAGCGGTCATCTTCGGGGAGGTCTTAGCCAGTCAGCGGCAAACAGGCAGGTCAAAGTTCGTGCGTCCAACACGGCTATAATACGAGGCAAGCGGCAAGACTGAATAACTCAAGACCCGCAAGTGCAACAATTAAGCTACTCTGATGATGGAAACGAGGAAGTTTCGGAAACGTCAGTTCGAATACAATATGGTCCATGGATTCGCCCACTCTTCTTCTTCGTCTTCTACGGGAGATGATGAACGCGATATATATATATATATATATATATATATATATATATCAAGCAGGAATGGGCGCACACCGATCTATTGGCTTCACAAAGCAAACAAGCTCCGTATGTGTGGCAAAGGTCACGAACAGGCTGATATATATATATATATATATATATATATATCAATATGCGTGAAGATGCGAGGTCCAGATATATTGCCCTGTATATCATCCCCCGAGGAAGACGAAGAAGTGAAATCGATTTCATGGACCAGGTTGTATTCAGACTGACGTTTCGGAAACACACTCGTTTCCATCATCACTCTGCCTGCTGACAAGGGACGCTCGACAGTCGTCATGGATAAAACCGAATACTTGTGTAAACTGGAGAACCTGCTGATGGACAAAGAATCTTACGCGCTTTCGGATGTGAGCGAGTTCAAAAGGCTTGTAAACAACATAAACAAGACGGTGAGTAGGTTAAAGAAAGCGAGCGCCCTCACGAGAAGAGAGGCACTGTCCGCGAAAGCCACTGACACCGCGATGGCACGCTTCTACGGCCTTCCCAAGGTACACAAGCCAGGAGTGCCCCTCCGCCCAATCGTTTCTTTACGTGGCACACCAACTTTTGGCCTATCAAAGTGGCTGTACCAACGACTTTGTTTCCTCGTCAAAGACTCAGAGTGTACAGTGAAGTCAGCTGAGGAGTTTTTGGCTCGCATCCGACATCGTAGAGTGGAGACAGACGAGGTGATGGTGTCCTTTGACGTGGTCTCACTGTTCACTTCTATCCCGCCCGACCTAGCCATCGACACTCTCGACGGACTTCTCCGAGAAAAATACGACGAGACCGACCAAAAGCTTAAACGAGTGCACATTATCGAGCTCCTAGAACTGTGCCTTAAGACTTTCTTCACATTTAACGGCCAAGTGTACGAGCAAAAAAAGGGAACGCCAATGGGTTCACCTCTGTCTGGACTAATTGCCGAAGCGGTTTTGCAGCGGCTGGAGCGTCTGGTATTCAGCTCGTACCCTCCGAAGTTCTGGGCCAGATATGTCGACGACACATTCGTCATAATAAAGAGGAACGACGTGCAAGATTTCAAGGCACTCTTGAATTCGATATTTCCCGACATACAGTTCACCATGGAAGAAGAGGCCGACAATCGCTTGCCCTTCCTAGACGTACAAGTTACAAAACTGGCAGACGGGAATATAAAGACGACGGTCTACCGTAAGGCGACTAACACAAGGCGCATCCTCCACTTCAGAAGCAACCACCCCGTCGGTCACAAACGCAGTTGTGTCAGGACCCTTTTCCAACGCACCCAAACACACTGCAGCGACGACGATGACAGGAAGAAGGAGGTGAGGTACTTACGTGGTCTATTTGAAGCCAACGGGTACACGAAGTCGTTCATACGCAAGTGTCTCAGGAAGTCCCACTCGGGGCGGTCGAACGAGGAGAAACCAAAGCTCTGGCTCTCGATCGCCTATGTGAAGAACGTTTCAGAGGCAACTTCAAGAATTCTGAAACCTTTTGGAATTGGTGTGGCCCATAAACCAGCTGCAACAATCAGACAGCAAATCATGAGGCCCAAAGACCCGCTCCCGGTAACAGAACAATCGGCGGTGGTCTACAGCATACCATGCCAAGATTGTGATGCCAGGTATGTTGGTGAAACGGGAAAACGCCTCGGCACAAGATTGCACGAGCACCAGCTAGCAATCAACCGCAAGGATAAGCTGTCGTTGGTGTATGGCCACACACTAGAGCGGAATCACTGTTTTGCCTTCGAGAAAGCGAGTGTGATCGGCCGAGCCAATGATAAAATGGCCAGACTAATGCTGGAAAGTTGGTCCTTGACTGGCACACTCAACAGGGCCATAGACCTACATCCAGCCTATCAGGCGCTCCGCGCAAGACTCCAGCCAATCCAGGCAGGGCCGATGGCACTGATGAAAAGAGTCACACGGGGTCCACCACCGACGCTCGCGGAGCGAGGAGAAGGCGCTGACCGAATGTCACGTGACCGGCGTGGCACACCGTCTCACGGACGTACTGCCGAGGCCGGAAACGCCACGCCTGAGGAACAAAGATCGATCAGCCCGCCATCTGACGAGGGGGAGGCGAACGAGCACGCCGACGCAGCGGCAACCACGTTAGGCGTGAGGGGGACACAAGCCACGCCAGTCCGCCAATGGCTGAGACCAGGGAGGCGACAATCAGCCAACGGAAAGCAGGCTAGTCGACAAACGTGCACTGTGCACGGTTATAATACGAGACAGGCGGCAAGGCTGAACAGATCAAGGCCAGCAGGAAACGTCAGCGCACGACTCTGATGATGGAAACGAGTGTGTTTCCGAAACGTCAGTCTGAATACAACCTGGTCCATGAAATCGATTTCTCTTCTTCGTCTTCCTCGGGGGATGATATACAGGATATATATATATATATGGTAAAGGTATTATACCGTACTCCCGATCTAGATACTTGCTAAAAGCCCAGACACGTGTTTCGCCGATATTCTGCCGCTGCGTGACACAGCTGCGAGGGGTTCGGCTCTTCAGTGGGACCCCCAGCGTTCTCTAGCGGTTTCTGGTATATGAACTCCAGAGAATAATCAGGTGAATAATTTCGGAAATTAATCAGTGCAGAACTTGGAGTTAAATTTCCGGGACATGACTTATATATATATATAATGAAAAAGAGAAGGCTCTTCGGAAAATCGAGTTGTACTCGAACATTTTCGAGTCGGTAACACCGACCCGTCCTCAGACAAAATAAACAGAGGGAAAAGTGAGTTCGGCAGACTTTGTCGACTGGCGCGACAGGACAGACAGCGACAAACTGACAGCGGATGGGTACGAGGAGGGGGGCACAGAGATTAGTTAGGCTGTGGGACAGTGGGAGCGAAGGAAGAATCGTTAGGGCTTCCTGTTTCGAATTTGGAGAAAACGCGCGAGATTCGCACAGCAGAGAATGCGGGCGGCTGATCACTGATGCGGAATGAGATCAGGGGCAATGCACTTGCATATATATTTTTATACCTTAATATATATGCAGAATTTTATACCGAGAAAGACAAGGGAGACTGGAATGGTCATTTCTGGATTAATGGCCGTCGTCAGACACTCATACCCAACCCCGAAGTGTGGAACGCCCGCGGCTCAAACTCGTGACCTGTTTGCTAGAGGTCCACGCCTCTCACCGCTGGGCCACGAGCCTGTTGCCCTGTCGGTTTTGTTTGGAAGTAAACAATGATAGGGGGCGCTCATCAATCAATCCTGCCCTCAGAAGGTTATCCACATTTCTGTTTTAACCACTCAGAGAACTTCAACGACCCCACCACCGGACGGCACACCAATGCCATTGAGGCATACTAGAGTAGACTGAAAAAAGAAACTACACGAGGAAGGCACTGCATGTGGTCGAGCCGTTTGGGCTTACATAGACGAACTACAGTATCGTCTTGGGTTTGGCCACACTGCCATGTGTTTAATAGATCCCTGGGAACTGTTCCGGTCCCACGTTGTGCATACATATCATATTTTAAAGTAATTTTGTTTTGTAACAAACTGCCATGATGCGAAGTTTTGGCGTATATTCAGGTGTACTTGTGTAACGATGGGAAAGGTTGGGTAACAGCGACCAGCGTCCATGTAACCTCCTGCGATGTTCGTTCGGCCAGCCCATGTTAGGTCGTCGGGGAAAGTTCAAGTAGTGCGTGAAAGTAGGCCTGCACCCGCTGATATAGCCTGAAGGCGTTTGAGTTCACTGTTCACGATATTATTTCTAGGTAACGGATTTTTGTGGGTGTCCTCTCCCGATTTTTACTCAGCCCGGAAATAAAATAAAGCTTCTTTAAAAAACCATTAATCCAACGTAACACTGCTCATACTGATTATATCTCTGACCTCCATCGGGTGCCACTATTAACTTTGAGTGTGCATATTTTATCCAAATGTGTGGGAAGATTGCATGACTTAGACTGCCAATGCCTATTTCAATCTGCGAAAACAGGGCCGAGGACAGTCGATGACGGTTAAATTATTTTCGTCCACGTCAGTCATGATGAATTGCTTCCTCTTCTTGCCAAGGAATAGCAACATACGAGTTAGACAAAGGAACAAATGTTCCTTTTGGTTCCTGTAGGACACATTAATGACCGCAATCTCGCTCTCCGAAGTTAAAGTCGACAGCGATGTTTGATTTATCACATTGTCATTTATTTCACTTAATTCAGAATTGTACGGTCGTTGTTGTGGCTTGGATGAGATGCTGGTATTGACTACACTGTCTGTGTGTATATCTAGTGGTCGTTGTAAATACAAGGACGAGTTTTCAATAATTGTTAAGTTAGTGATATTTAGAATAGGGAAGGGAGCGTTGGAGCAGAAGTAGTACAATATCAGAACGGCGACCACGATGACTATGAAGTGAATAATTTCAGAAATTACTCAGTGCAGTACTTAAGTCAACTCCCCGGAACATTACTGTTTTGCATAAGAAACGAAGTTTCAATGAACATTCGAGTCGGAGACAGTCAACTACTGTGAGATACCTACGTTATGCCCATTGTACTTGATTATCCACATGACTATTCATTGAAGTTCATATACCAGAAACCGCATAGACAATGCCGAGGGGCCCACTGAAGAGCCGAATCCCGCGAGGCTACTAAGCTAAACGGCAGAATAACTGCGAAACAAGTGCAGGAGGGCGCAGATGGATGATGGCACAGACGAGCCCGCACGTTGGCTTTTCACTCCACACGCCCTTGTCCACACATCAAATGACCAGGTTTCGATCAACAACAACAACAACAACAACAACAACAACAGCCATAACGACAACAATAACTCAACAGAGGGGCCAGAGCAGGAAGGATGACTGGACAGCGAGGCTCATCACACTTGTACCTAGAGGCAACTTCAGCTCATCTACGGGCAGGAAAACTAGGTGACAGTAAACTGCCAGTGCTTCATGGACTGCAAGGGTCATGGTTTGCTTACACACGCTTACACACCATTTGACGAAAATGTTCCACAACCTTACTACCAGGAATGGGCAGACAGCAAACACCCTTTACATGATATCTTCCAACAGCAAAAGACTAACCAGGCACTTCATGCATAAACTTACTGCAAGCAAACGCATGCGGAAGTTTTCATACCTTATACGAGCATTCACCCTACTACTAATTTGTGGGTTACTCATGCCAGCCTTCCCAAACGAATAAAACACCACTCAGATAGCGGTGGTTTCCAAGAAAAATATATGACTTGTTCAGACTCTTTTCCGAAAAAAGGACACACCAGATATTATGCGCGCATGTAAATGTGAAAACATTAATTAATAGAATTAAAGAAAGTAAACTTTTCCAACTAAAAACACGAAACGATAACGTGTGCTAACACTTCCATGCTTTAACTCGTTGACCGCGCTCCAACTAACAACCACGTTTAGCAACCATATTTTACATCCTGAGGATAGGGCATGCTATACTGAGAAGGTAGATTTTCTCCACAAGATTTTCTGTGACGCCTGAAATGCGGTTTACTGAGGTCAAACTGGAAAGTCAGCCACTACACGCATATAGGGACGTAGGCTGCATATGAATTGGCGAGACCACAAGATTACCATTGTTGATCCTTAATTGGAATCTGGTCGAAAATTTGTTTGAGACAAAACGTGCACTACTTGTGTACGTTCACCTATGAAAATCCGAACATTTTCAGCGGTCGGATGATGGCGACGTGCACAACTTTCCCGGTGAAAGTAGAAGGGCCAACAGCCAATTCGTACGGAACATATTCACACCATCATGGTATATAAGCAGCATTGACAAAGGAATATATGGTTGTTGTGGGATGTTTCACAATTTGACTGCCTCGCGTATTCTACGCAGGAGACTGGAATGGCAATTTCGAGCCATTTCAGTCTAACTTGATTTGCCGGTAATGCCATTCTGCCTATATATCATGCGCCGCTGTGCAGCTGCTGTTTGGGCTCGACATAGAGTCCATAAGGCACAATGGAACGAGTGAGTTGCGTATGAAAGATGGGTGAGTGCCCCCTTCGATGAAATATATAAATATATATGAAAAATAGAAATGGCTCTTCGGAAAAGTCGAGTTGTACTCGTGAATTTTCGAGCTGGTGACACCAACCCGTCGTCAGACGCAATGGAAAACGAGGGAGAAAGTTATGTTGTCACAGAAGACCAGTTAGTGTGATAGGACATAACAGAATACTGACGTGTGAGAGAGGGGTGGGGTGGGCTCCCGACGTCATGGTAGGTCACTGAGTGAGGGGCGGGGAAGGGAGAGGAGACGGAACAATTACGGCGCACCGTGCTGGAAGCGGAGGATGGGTGGTAAATAAGTCAGAATTCGGGCGGCTGTATTCGCGGTCGTTGATGCGTGATTAGGGCAGGGGGCAGTCATTCGTGAACGTAGACCCTCGTAATGGGCATCTAAGTCAACGTGGCGGCTGATACTACCCGCATCAGAGTACCAAGCATCGAGAAATTCCCTCGCGCGCTTTGTGTTAGCCATGGCGACGACCTTAGTGCCATCCCAATTGAATCGGTGGTCGTACTCGAGTGCATGGGCAAAGACGAGGGACAGGGGGTCTCGCTGACGGATAGGTAGTTTGTGTTCGTTGATACGGGTGCCCAGGCATCGACGTGTATGGCCAACACACACGCAAGAGTAATTAGCACACGACATGCGATGAATTACATTCGTTTGTTGCTCTTTGGGGATGGGATCCTTGACTCGAGTTAGTGCTGCGCGTAGTGAATATGCCGGTTTGTGTGCAACGTGAATACCCATGCGGCTGAACTGCCGGGCCATTATTTCACAAGTTCCACGCATATATGGCATACAGTTTACCCGCGAAGAGGCAATTAAAGACAGCTTGCCGTTTCTGGACGTGAGAATACAGAAGTTGACCGATGGTTGCCTGGCAACAAGCGTCCATAGTGTTATCCTCAAATATGGACAATTGAAAAAGTACCAGATACACGTAGCACACCAGCCGGCAACTACCTTACGCACACAGCTTGTAAACCCTACCTCGGCTACCTCGGAAGAATAGGTGTTGTCTACAAAATCCCATGTTCTAGGTGTGATGCCGTTTATTGTGGCCAAACTGGGAAATCTGTCTTAGTCCGTCTACATGAGCATCAGTTAGCGGTGAAGATACGCGACCATCTAATCCAGGTGGTCATGCACACATTGGACTCTGGGCATAAATTCGCACCAAAAAACATTCGCAACGTTGCCGCCTGCCAAACGAGGAAAGGCCGCGAATTCCTGGAGGCAATGCACTCAGATGAGGCATGCATCAACCGGCATATCGATTTAGTTGCCACATACAAAATCGTTAAGTACAGATTCTAACTGACTCAACCAATCCCCAGATGACGACCTTAGCCAATCCTGGAATCCTATAGCCAAATTCAGTCTAGAAGTTAATTGTTTCTGCACGCCCGTTGTCTGAAGACGAACTGGGGAACCAGTCTCGAAAATTCACAATAAAATTTTGCTGTTTCCCAAGTAATTTCACCTTTCTTATTAATATATGAATGTATATGAGAAGAAAAGGCGATCTCGGGAACCATAGTTTACTGTCCTGGCCTTTCAAAAGCAAACAAGCTTTCGTCGTCGGAGATGAGTGTCGTATCGCACCTTACAGTATTTATAGGTGGGTGAAAGTCATGTCAAGAGGGGCGGCAGGGTGGAAGGGGCGGAGAGGTAGTCCTAGAGCCTCTTTTCGCTGGATGCGGGAGTGGTGGATCAGCTTTAGTGGTCACCAGCCGCATGCACACAGGGACTGTGGTGGGCGGGGGGAGGGAGAGGGGGTGGCAGCATGTACTCAATCTTCATCGGCGGCCGGTGCAGCCGTTGCCGTCGTTCGTACCGTTGTTGACCATAGCTGACGTCCAAGCCTGGCAATCTTGTTTACGCCGCAACGGCTGTCCGTTTTCTCGTCCAACGGACTAGTAGATGGACCGGCTGTGGTGAGCTCTGCGCCTTCGTCGGAACCTGGTTGAGATGTGGCTGAATGTGTATCCGGAATGGACTCGCTCATGTCTGGATTCATGTTCAGCCTGGCTGCACGTCTGCTCATATGTTTACTGCGCTGCGTCCGAAGGGCTTGGTAGGCAGCGTTAAGAGCCACAAAACAGTTGATGGGGGTTCTCCCCGTGTGCCAAGTCTCGATTGTTTCCCTGGACATACGGTGGTTTCGCCGGCCCAGAAATTCGGCGTGCTGAAAGTCGAACGTGTGTCCGGAATCGGCGCAGTGTTCGGCCACCAGAGACAAAGGGTCCATTCGCCTTACTGGCAACATGTGTTCTCCAACAGGGTTCTGTAGTCGTTTGCCTGTTTCCCCAATACCACGCTCACCTCCGACGATGGAAGGTTGCTGGTTTTTTAAACCTCAGTACAGTAAAACCATGGTTCCCGAGATCGCCTTTCTTCTCATTAATGTCCGGGAACGCACATCTGCACTTCTCTTAGCAATGTACATATGACAGATGGGCGATTACCGATCAGGTTCTGCCAACCGTGTTGTATCCATCAGGTGCGACTGCATAGCCATATCTTACCAACACATCTCACCCAGATATGGTCAATCATGTCAACATTATCTCTGCTGTTTATCACAATCTGCGCATATATCTGCGAATATATGCGCATGTAACCCCGTTGTCACCTGCACTATACAGAATGACATGTTATCTCTCTCTCTCTATGTCTTGTTATAGGGCGCAAAATTCTGACTTGACGGGATCTGATTTGGTAATGAAGTTACTTGTGATTCACCGTTTACTTCAGATTTTTTTCTCAAAAAACACTAGGCAGCATTCAGATAGGTGAACATTTTGTGGATATGTCAAACAAACTGCTTTATACTTTTATACTAACATACCCGAAAATGCACCTACAGCCGACTGACAAAACCACTAAACAGACACCTTCAGAAGCCGTTTGAAGCCTGCATATGAACTACGAAGCAGATGATATCTCTTTATTCAAATTAATACACACGACAGTTCGTGGGTTTGACGGAGGTCATATGTACTACCCATATGAATTCGAACAGAGCGATGTAGAAATACGTGCACAACACACACGCACACGTGCACTCTATATGCTGTGATCGCAGGAGTAGGTTTAATCCTAATTTACCACAGGGAGTTCTTAGAGTGCAAAAGAGAACATTTGCGTTATCAGCCTACCACACCCAATCTCAGGTGTTAACCATCTAGAATTTGAATTAGTCATCCGTGTTACGCATTCAGTTCTCGAAAAGTCTTCATTGAAATGACTGCCAAAGAACGCCGTATTGCTTCTGTCTCTTGATCAGGGGTTTGTGACTCCAATTGAAGGATCGGCCTCCGGCGTCTGACGAAGGTACGATCATCCGATATGTCACGCTGGCACTCATCGCACATTTAATTCACTATCCCGTCACATCACAAACTCTTTCATTGTAGGGCACTTCAATTTGAAACTGTCTAACAATTGTTATTTGGCATTTAGATGCCACCTCTATCAACACGCATTCGAACTTTCCTGCTGCCCATAAATTCCTACGTCAGTACATTCATCAGGACCAGAACAGGACGACCATAGACAGCTTAATCATGCCAGGTAAGCACGTTCCGCCGACTAATTCGCTCAAAGAGATGTACAAATACAATAGACTGGCCTTCAGGTTAAGACACACATGGCAATGGCCGCCTACTTTAACAAACAACGACCAGAAGGCAAAGGCGATGAAGGTGATTAAGAAATGTCGACCTAAGGTCAACAGATTCGGACTTTTACACAAATTTCTAGTCGATTTTTTGTACAAAACCCTTTCAAAAATGGAGAGCCCACCAAGCCCACCGAAACGCCATCCGCTCAACTCCACTGATCCGGTGAGCACTTCATATTGCTCAGATTTTGGACGCGGATCTCTTGCATCTGCGAATCTCCATTGTCAGCATCTCCTGTGTCCGGATCGGCAAGCCGTGATAATGGCCGTCCTGTCATCCTCATCGGCTTTCTGACCCGCTGTGACCCTGCTGTTGGTTAGAACTCTGGTTAAGTATTTGTTTGTGTCAGGGGATTGGTAGTACGTCTTGGTGCAGGTCCAACCGTACCAGCCAGCTGCAACCTTCCCCCTCCGGTCTTCTTGACTATGCCTTGATGACGCTTTTGGGTGGGGAAGGGGGAAAGGAGGGGGAGTGCGGTAGATGCAAAGCAGCTCTGCACTAAGCTAATAAATAATAAACTAATTCATTCCGATGTCACCGTGCCAAACTCGCCTTATATTTGTAGCACACGTCGTGCACAGTCAGCAACAGTGTTCCAACAGTCAAAGGCATGATGTAAATGCGATACAGTCAAAAATCACCAGGTTACATATATTAGCAAGATTCGGCAACATTAAGAGGCTATCTGAAGATACACCCGCCGATTGGCGAGGAAAAAATCAACGAGTATTGCGCAAACATGTAGACAATGACGGTAGATTTGACTTAGTACGTAAGGACCGTCTACTGCACGACACTCAGTCACCTAAGCCCATCTAGTGGCAACGTCACAGAACATCAACCATTAAGGATATACGGAATTGTTTGCTGTTAAACTGCTAATTATGTCAGCAAATATTTGCTAACAATGTGATCGATTTGCAATGCAGAATTATTCTGCTTGCCTTCCCCGTTTCGTTGTTGCATATTTTACCTCTTTCTCAATAAAGAGAAGTGTGTTTTCGATAAGGACAATTTCACTGGTGAAAACAGAAATGTAAAATATTAAAAGCGTTTCCATTGGAAGACGATAGGGTTCAGTTATCTCAAGTAGATGGCAACCCCAAAAATCTACCACAAAATTCAGCGTGACTGTTTAATCATTTGTATTTAAGCGTTTACATTGCTTTAAAATTAAAAACCGTTCCATTATTAAATGGAATAAAAGAGCGACGAATTACTCAAGGGTGGTTATTTGTGAAATTTGAGTCTTGTTATGAAGAAAGAGAAAGTATCGCCGGGACAAGATATTAATAGCCTGACCTTTCGGATTCCTACTCAAATCCATCAGCAGAGACAAAAAACAGAAACGAATGGTTGTTGCACAAGGAGCTGCGATATTTATAGGATGCAGTAGCCATGCTACCGGATACCTATGACCATTCACGGCTCCCCCCTTCATCCGGGATAGTCGCGCTTGTTGTGATCATTGCCTGATAGCCGACATTTGAGTCGATAATTGCTGCAATTGCATCACGTGCGTTGGATGTTGGCGTGATGATTTCTCGACTATCTGACGCACCGGCCCCGGTTTTGGGAAAAGTGCTAACCTCTGCGCTACCCACATGGCATGGCGAAGTTTTAGCACGGAGTATGGAATGGGAAGATCGTTGCACTTGTTGATGGACTGGGGGCCAGTAAACCATGATTCCAGTAGCTCCAGGCTCACGCAGTTGTCACCTTTTGCTTGACCAGCCGAATGTGGTCATGGTATCGTTTCATGTTACATCCCTCTTTACTTCTATCCCCCAGGACCTGGCGATCGAGACAATTGAGGTGCTTCTACAAAGCAAATACGATGAAACGGAGAACCGTCTTGCACACACCCCAATCCTTCAGCTCCTGAAGCTCTGTCGCAGGACGTACTTCAAATTCAACGGGACAATCTACGAACAGGTGAAGGGCACACCAATGGGTTCGCCGATTTCGGGATTCATCGTCGAGGCGGTCCTGCAACGGTTAGAATCGCTCGTCTTCCAACACCACATACCGAAATTCTGGGTCCGGTATGTTGATGATACCTTCGTCATCATCGAACGGGATCAGGTGTTGACATTCCAAGAACATCTCAACGCCGTCTTCCCGGATATTCAATTTACGATGGAAAAGGAAGAGAACAACCAGCTGGCCTTCGTGGATGTCCTTGTATGCCGCAAGGATTGTTGTGGACTAAAAACCAAAGTGTTCAGGAAAGCGACAAATACGATGCATGTTCTGAACTTCAACAGTAACCACTGAATCAGTCACAAACGCTGTTGTGTAAGGACGCTCATTTGGCGTGTCGAAACGCACTGCAGTGAGCCGGAAGACAAAACTGCCGAACTACAATACCCCCGACAGGTCTTGAAAGACAATGTCTACTAGCGCAACTTCGTAGACCGATGCATACGCAAGAGGGACGAAAGACCTAACCGAACGAAATCTCGGTGAACACTTCCGTATGTCAAGAACGTTTCCGAAGATGTCGGCCTCCTTCTCGCACCACTTGGGGTTGGAGTTGCACACAGACCAGATGCAACCATCAGGCGTCTGGTCATGAAACCGAAAGACCCACTGCCACGGCTAGAAACGTCTGGAGTCGTTTATCGGATCTGGTGCAGTTGCGGACAAAGCAAGTACGTCGGAGAAACCGAAAGGCAGCTCCGAACGAGAATGGCCGAACACGCGGCAGCGGTGAACAGAAATGACGCCAGCTCTGAAGTTGCGGCTCATTCGACGAGATCCGGCCACACATTTAAATTCGATGAGGCCTAAATTCTTGCAAGAGGTGACAACTGCTTGAGCCTGGAGCTACTGGAATCATGCTTTACTGTCCCCCAGTCCATTAACAAGTGCAACGATCTTCCCATTCCATACTCCGTGCTGAAACTTCGCCTAGGCGGAGTAAAAAGCCATGCGGGAACCGCAGAGGTGAACACTTTTCCCAACACCGGGGTCGGTGCGTCAGATGGTCGAGCAATCATCACGCCAACATCCAACGCACGTGATGCAATTGCTGCAATTATCGACTCAAATGTCGTCTATCAAGCAATGATCACACCAAGCGCGACGATCCGGGATGAAGGGGGGGGCGTGAATTGTCATAGGTATGCGGTAGCATGGCTTCTGCATCCTATAAATACGCAGCCCCTTGTGCAACAACCACCCGTTTCTGTTTTTTTGTCTCTGATGATGCATTTGAGTAGGAATCCGAAACGTCAGGCTAATAAAGCTCTTTTTCCCGGCGATCGTGTCTGCTTCTTCAAGACTGCTACCTCAGATTCCTCTCTTCGCTTCTGTTGTCAATGAGACTTAATTCCTTTTTTATTACCTTGATCATTTTTTGCAAAATCGCAGCGTATGATAAATATTTGGCGAAAATATAGCTATGTTCAGTGTACTGTTGCTGACCGTCCTGTGTGTTGCTCTCTTCGTGAAGCCCTCTCCGCCGCCACTCAACGTACCACACGTCCAAATCCTACAAGTTTCTACTTTCTCCGGTTGTCTTGCTGAAAACGCAATGCACGAATCAGAAATTACGGTCATACCATTAACTAGCCACGAATTTTACGTATCATATGTGGATGTAACTTCTGCTGTCATTAAAATGCATTGCTTTGAAATGCTTTACGATACTTCGGCCGTCATGTTGGATGATGTCTACCGTGTGCTATGCTGTATGGTGAGATCTGGGTCGGTGACCCGCGTGTGCATTATGTTAAAGTGATAGTAGTCTTGGGACTGGACCGGATGTCAAGACAGAATCGAGAAGAGAGGAGGCGGGGGATGGCACAGGTGGATGATGACACGGTCGAGCTCGCACGTCGGCCTCACAATCAACACGCCCTTCTCCACACAGCAAATGATCAGGTTCCGACCAACAACAACAGGTTCTAAAACGACAACTATAACCGAAACGTGGCCAGAGCACGAAGAATGACTGGGCAGCAGTGCTCATCACCCGTGTACCTAGAGGATAGGTAAAAGCATCCCGTACAAACACACCCGTACAATGTTGCGCACCCGTACAAACACAATGCTACCAGGAAAGTAGCCTACGTTCTAGACAGGGCAGACAGCATACACCCTCTCCTTGATACATTCCTACATCAAAAGTCTGACCGGCCGTTTCATGCATAAACATACTCATCAAGATCTAATATTCCTAAGAAACCGTTTAACCAACCACAAAATCAATTCAGTTACGATCACTCCTGATTTAAGCCATTTTTGCCGGTCGTAGTAAGGCGTCATCGCGTCATCTCTGAAATTTGCGGACAGCTCATAATTTCTGTTGTTAACGTCCGTCGTCGTTAAAATGTCAATTGTCTTGATTTTGCTATTAAAATGCTACTTTTTTGTAGTGCGTGTTCTTACTCATGAAAAGCCATCCGACGTTCCAAAATACGTCTTCGTTTCGAAAAGATAACATGAAAGAGGTTTTTAAATAAATCACCGAACAGCATAATTAAACAATGATCCAATAACTTCGGAGTGTGGGCTTTCGAATGAATTTCTAATATTCCGCACAGAAAGCCATACTCTGTGCTATTGACTGCTAATGTAGCATGAGTTCTTCTTTCTGATTTTCGATGCCCTTAAAAATTCAATCATATTTAATGTAACACATGCATCACAAAATTCAGTTTTCCACTCAGTCGGCAAAAAATTTTCATTCACTTTTTAATGTATGCTCGAGAAAAGGGTAAAATTCGGATTGAAAATAGTTCCCCCTTACAACATCTTTAAATATGTTGCACGATAATAAATTTTAAAACACTGCTTAAGTGCTATTTTCGAAATAAAACTTATTTCGAAACCTTCTTTTAAACTTCATGAGATAACACGCCTGATATATATTTCTTCGGAAAAAAATTAGTTCTTTGGGAAAGGTAAATAATTTCAATTGCAAATGTTCTACTTATGTTCCCCAAGTCGTCCTGAGTCATGAAGTAAGTGTGCCGAGTACTTAGAGGAAAGTACAGAAATCTACTAATTACATTTCCGAACAGTTTAGCCAAGTCCTTGATAAACTTGCGAAAATGCGGAAAATCGAGTAAAATTCCCGATATGCTGAAAAGCCGATTTATACCACATATAACATATCGAATGGTAGAGGCGTTACACCAGTAGATTTTAAGGAATTCACTCGTCCCGTGGTGCCGTAGGGTTTTTTCTCTAGTCCATCGGGCATCATCACAACCATGCGGGATATTTAGGCAGAATAGCATTACAGAAAAAGATAATGGAGACCGGTGAGTGCACTACTACCATTGTATATATCCGACCGCAACCGATATAAGAACGACCCCCGACTCAGTATTTCTGGGTGTTGGAGTCATAACCAACAGGTCGCGTGATCGAGCCCAGTTGTTCCACGCTTCGGTGTAGCGTGTGACTGACTGACGACCGCCAATAAGCAGAAATGGTCACTTCAGTCTCCCATATCATTGTCCGTAATGTTATTCTGCCTAATGTATGCGCTGCTTTGTGGCTGCTGCTCGGACTCGAAAGGCAGCGCCAGTGGAAACTGGAAAATTGAGTCCCGTAACAAGAACGATTAGTGCTCTTTTATCATCATGCATAAACATGTATTTCGATTAATTGATAGTGACTGGTAATTGCATATTATGTTTTTGCTACTCAGTGCATGATTTTAGTTTTGATAAATGATTTTGCGCTCGGAGGTGGACGTTATAATTTTCTTGTAGATTTCCCCAATTAAAAGCTATTTATAATTCGAAATAGCTCGCATATACATTGCGCAGCATCTACGGACACTGTTTAAGCGCTTGGTTAATCATTATTTTATTTTGCCAGACTAAAGTTTAAAGCATGATATGCAATAGTTTTAAAACAACACATGTTTACGAACATAATTACTTCCTGAAACTCGACAGTAATCATCTCGCCAAATCATGAACGAAGCTTGGCATTTCATCGTATCGCCTCGTATCTATTTTAAACCGCTTTTCCATCGGCCGTATTAATATGTCTTCGTTTAAGCAGGTCATTATAGGTCAACGCCTCAGAAGATGATTATTCAGAACGATTGAAAATGTATGTTAACTAAGCTTGGCGGCATATAGGCTTTATTACATAGCGACACATTTTTATACAACTATGAAGCATTTTAGATGGAAA